CGGACGGAAAATTCACTTTGTGGCGGCACTTTGCCTCCCCGGTCACGTCCAGAGACCTAGGTATCATCGACAAACCGAGACGGACGCGACCTCGACGGTTTTCTCGGATCGACGTCGACGAGGGTGCAAGGGGTGGAGGCGGCGGGTGGGTCGCGCAAATGTGGAATATTTGATTCGCTCCGTCAACTTCGGTCTAACCGATATTGGCCGAGGAGCTCGTTTCTCTTAACGGTCCCAGGTCGTAATCCCATTACGATTTTCCACACTCTCGGCTCCGAATCTCATATCGTTACGCGTATCTGACGGTATTTGTTCCCGACAAATAGCTCCGGGCCCGACATCTTTGACTCGTAGCGAGTCGAGGTAATCCGGCCTTGAGCGATATTCCCATTTGCCCTCGGAACGTTTTCCGCGATCGGAAGTATGACGGGACCGAGAGATATCCGCGAACGTCTTAACTTTCCAATCTCATCTCGGAGACCAAAAAGACCGGGGACCCGCTCGCGAGACGAAGTCGCGGTAACGAAGGCGAACTTATTTTTCGAGCGATTCGCTCGGAAGCCGGACTCCGATCGCGGAGGTAACTTCTTCGAGGAGGAAGTCCGCCCGAGTCGGTCCTGTAGTGCACAATAACCGCATAAATCATCTTTGCACAGGACATCCGCGGGTAGTTGGGAGGGACGTGGGAACTGACCACCTCCTTCGAGGATTTACGACGCAAACTCCGGCCCATCTGCTTATCCGAGCGGATCCGAATATTCCGCGCCCTCGCGAATATCCGAATTATCCACCAATAGGAAGAAGCTTCGATCCCCGATTTGCCTTATCGTCCGTCGAAACGTCGCTCGTATCTCAATCCCCTTCGCGTCGACTCATCGTCGGGTCGATCGGTTCGGTCCTAATTGCGCGCGACTCGTTAAGGAAAACTCGGAAGTGGATCAACCCCGGGTAATGTCGCGTAATCCGTCGACGGCCGCTTAACGGATCAGCCGAAAGCGTCCTTCCTTCGTGCCGAGGCGCGGGGCCGATTAAAAAAGAGCAACAAGGTTAGGAAAAATACCATTCGGTCCCGATCGAAGTCGGAGAACTTCTGGATAATTTCTCGTCGTCTCGCGTCATCCATGCAGATCCCCTCGTCACCCCCCGTCTCCCGGCAAGACCGGACCGACGTCGCCCGAGCCCTTCTCCGGGAGAAATCAATATCGGTTCAATTTATCCCAGGAGAATCGCCGGCCTCGTCGCCCCTTGAGGTGATTCCTCGGAAAACCATGCTTATCCAACTTATTGAAACTGGCCGAGTTGGCGGAAGCCGGTCCCCGGCCGGTCGAAGTCGAGGACGCATCGATCCGGGGACGGTCGAGGCTCCGTCGAAATCTTAGCAGATCCCGGCCGACCCGGTAACACCCCTTCATGGTCGGACGGGACGTCTCAGGGGGGCCCTCGTCCGTGTTCTAAGAGGCCGTTTATTTCCTGTTCGGGAGATCGACGAGGGCTGTCCCGGTCGTGTCGGCATGTCGGACATCAGCGGGGGCCGCTCTCCCTGGCCGCGGACTCGGCCGAGCAAGGAATGGGAGGCGAGAGCTCGACACCTAGTCCTCGCCAAAGGGTGTAAAGGCTCTCCTTTCGAAGAAAAGTTGCCGAGTCGCCGCTAATGGCCGTCTTTTAACGGACACGACGGGACTGCAAAACCCCGCAGGTGCGAGGGGGTGCGGTTTCCTCCGCCGAAAAAAGCTAACCGCCCTTTCTTTTGGATAACCGGTACGTGGCCTTTCTCTCCGGTCCGCGTCTTCGTCGGAAATTAAATCGAAAGGGAGAACGAAAGGAATCGGTAGGGGGGAACCGTCCAAACACCTCTCGACGTCCAAATCGAAGAAAAGGGAACCGGTCGCGACGGAAGGCGTCCTCGTACTTCGATCGTGGGAGAAAATTTCGGTGATCGTCTCCTTCGTCGTCGGGAATAAGTTTCGGCAAAATGCTTTTCCTATCCGTCCCTAGAGCCGACGTAACGAATGGATGCGATAGAGAGGAAAGCAAGCTTTCGCCTCCCTTACCCCGAGAGTCGGTATCAACTCCGGAGCCAACTATTCGCGGTGGCATCGCCTTCCGCTCTCCCGTCGGGTGGAATACCGATCGAGTTTTCAGGCGGCTCGTAATGGTGAGAAATTAATTCCAACTCCAATTAATATCCACGGAATTCCAATTAACAACGCGGCCTTTCCCTCGCGCCCGAGGTTTTCCGTCCGCACTCGTCCCGTTGTATCAAACGTCCCGCGGCCCCGTGAACGCGTTCTCGATAGAGAGGGAGCCTCGGTGTTTGATGTCACCCAATATCGAAAGCTCTATCGACCTTCCGTCGAATCTCGATTGCACCGCCGAGGCGCGAAAATATGTGTGCACGGCCGGCGGCGACGCGAGGAGCGTCTCCAAAGGATCTAATAAATCACGCCCTTTACCCGGTCAACCGGGACCTCGAAGTAACTGCCGACAGGAAATTCGCCCCAACGGGGGAAAGTGACCCCGTGAATGGCAACGCGACGCCCATCGACCTTTCATTTTCTGCCCACGTCGGGGCCGCCTTAACGCGGTTATCAAAGAACCTTGTTACGAGACATCGATCGGGAACCCTTTGATTTCGCCCTTGCCTTCCCGTCGACCGAGAGGGTGGGTCGTAATCTAAATATTCATCGCTCCTCTCGGGAGCGGGAAGGGCATGAATAATTTTTTAATAATTCGGCACCTACCCTCCGCGACTTTCCACGAACGACTGCCGGAAAAGACTCGACCAGTCGATACCGCCTCGCGAAATCCTCGGCCCGGTCCCTTCTTCCCTCTTTAACGCGGCCGCCGTAATTGCGGGGCTTGCGAAAATATTTGTCCCTGGACGAGGGCTCGGGTCGGGGGTTCCCTCCTTTGCATGGCAAAGCGAGCGTAACGCGGGCGTTTAATGCGATTTGCGCGAAATTCTTGCCGGCGAAGAAGAGATCTGGCTTTGAGCTTTAAGGGCCTCAGGCGTTGGCCGTGGAATCGCGGTAGTCCGGGTTGCCCCATCTTTTCGCGCCCCTCCCACGGCCGGCTCATTTATCAAGCTGCCTTCCATTAATATCCGACAAAATAGTACGGGAACGCGACATTCCATGGAACTCGAGCCAGTCCGTCTCGTAGCGAGCTCGTCGACTGCGGCCTCCCCAACGTGGTCGAATGTGCATGTGCACCTACACGTTGTGGACGTTGCAGCGACGCCGCGCGTTATTTCCTTTTTCCAGAGGCGAAAAGTCCGTCGGCGTTTGACGGGCAGGTGGACTACTTTTTTCGAAATGATATTTTACTCGATACCTACCCCCGGCCGCTCCCTTTTTTATTTTCGAAAGTCCGCTTGGATCGGAGAGCTCGAACGTGATTTATTCTCCGGAGAAAAAAAGCGTTTCGTTTGCATTCAGAGGAGCGCCCGTCCGACGTCCCGACGTCGTCTTTTATCGCGGCCGCGATTTTTTCCGAGCCGCGTCCAGCCTTCGATCGGATATATTTCCGCCCCTCGCTCTCGAGCCTTCTCTCGATAAATCTCGCAATTACTTCTGGCTCGGCGTCGCGAAAGGGACCCATTATCAGGGTTTCGGGAAGGCGCGCTCTCTCGGAAAGAGTTAACGACTCCGCCCTTTCGACGGGGTCGCGAGCGACGTCCTTTGATCTCGGGAGGAACGGCGAGATTTCCGGTCTTCTTTCTCGCTTCCCCCGACAAGTGAATCGGACACGTCGGAGCCCTTTGCTTTGCTCTTTGTCGACGGGGCCGCGTTGTCGCACCGGGATTCGATGCTTTTCCGAGATGACCAGGAGGCCGCGCCATTTTGCCGAATCACGGAACGAGCGTTGACCCTGGTCATGCCGTGTTCGGGGCCGGATCGTCCAACTTCCGGCGGGGATTACGAGGAGCGGAAAAGTCATCGCCGTTTCGTCGAGTTTTCAGCCGGAAGTTGTAGGGCGTTTCGCGCCGAGTCGACAACGGCCGACTTCCCGGGGGTGCGCTTTTCATTACGCGGACGTCGACTTCGGGGCCGAGAAGCCTTGCCTCGAGAACGAGGCGAAAATCCTCTCGCGGGACGAGGTTTTCCAAATATCGGAACAAATTACTGCGACGGAAAGGTGAATAACGCGACCTCGCGGCGTATAAATGCACGCAGTAACAAGTCCGCGTGTCCCGGGTCGAGGGCGAAGATACTTCTGAATATAAAGAGCCGTGAATGCGTACCGACTTCCCTTCTCATCGCGTTTCCACGACGACGCTGAAGACGGCGGCCTGAAAAGACTCTGATGAGGATCGCGCGATTCGCGGAGTCGACGATGTTCCGATCCGAGTTCCTCCGATGTAAGTTAACGAGGTGGTACATCGTCGCCTGCGTACCGTGAGTCCTGGAATGGCGAATAAAACTAATACCCATCCCGGTGACGTACGCGTGCCCGACGTCGACGTCGTTCCGCCGAGAAGCACCCGCTAGAAGGAGGGCCGAATGAAAAGGTAAAATGGACTTCTTCCAGACTCCCGGTGCACTTTGCACAATTTTCTGGGCGTAAGAAACCTCGACGAGGGGGAGAGCTCTAACGATCGTTTTCGCGAGTTCTCCAGGTCGGACAAATCCCTAGCCTGATCCAGGAAGAACCAAAAATTTATACGATTATTCGACGCTCCCATTACGGGTCTAACTTCAGTCGAATCCTATTCGAGACGGTCTCGATTTCATACTTGGAGCGCCGAGTGACAAAAGCGCTCCGATTTCCAAGGAAATGCCTATAATCCCGGAAGCAGTTCCGAAGTCTAACCTGGCCGAGAGTTCGCGCGATCCTCGAAGGAGAAATGAGAGAAAGGACGAATCGCGCGGAATTTACGCGCGAGGGACGGAATCCCCGAGGGTCGCGAGAAGAGACAACGGGGTAATTCTCGGGACCAGGGGGACGATTTCGAGGAATCGTTCCTCGGACGCGTCATGAGACTCTTGGGGGGTCTGACGATGAATCTCTGGATCGCGGGGATTTTTGGGCGCTTCTGGGGCGTGATCGAGGAGGTCGAGGAGGTGGCCGAGGCCGACGACGACGCGGACGTCGAAGAGGTGCCTATGACGGAAGCGATCGCGGCGTCGAGCGGAAACATCAGCGAGTCGACGGAATCCGAGGAGTCCGCGGAGCTCGCGGACCCCGGCTGGGACAGGAAGGGGGCGATCCGGGACGTAGCCTATTTCCTGCGCGCCCACAAGTTCCGGGACTACGATCGCAGGTACTACAGGAGCGTGGAGGACAGCCCTTGGAGGCTCTTTCGGGACTTCCCGAAGCCGAGGCTCCGGTCCTTGCACTGGGAGGTGCACAAGTACTGCGACCTGGGCTTCGCGAGGTGCCTCAAGTATCTCGAGGACATGGTCGCCCAGACGGCCCTGAGGCGCGAGGACGACACCGTCACCGTCATACGCCGGTTTAATTGGAACCAGGCGAACCACTCTCGGCAGATTCTGTCGGCCCAGAAGGACTGCGAGGCCGCCAAGAAGAGGGACTCTCGGCTGGTGGAGCCCTTCGAGGGACCCATCGGTTGGTGCGACGTCCTCGGCGTCGTCGAAACGACCCGGGCCTCCGTTCACCCCTGGTGCACTTTTCCAGAACGATTCCAGTGGCGCACCTCGGCCAGCTACTATATGTGTCGGTTCACGATGCTCGGCATCCCCGACTTGGCACACTTCGGCGAGTCTTGCGCCAACCACGCCAATTGTCTGGACGAGTACGGCGCGAACAACCGCGACCCCAGGGCCGACGACTCGAAGCCCTTCGCTTGCGCCCTTTACAGCTTCTGTCCGGATCGCTGCTGTCCCCTGATGCACGTCTGGTACACGAAGGACTGCTCCCAGTCGACTCTCAATCCCTGCTACGATGGGAATCCTCCAGGTGCGTGGGAGTCATCTCGGTCCCGGGGTGTAAGAGGATTATTTATATTTTCCTGCTTATAACCCCCAACTCGAGTCGACTTTTACTTCTCGGGAAACGGGGAAATTAGCTGAGCCGTCCAAGTCGTCCCGTCCCCGTTCTTCCTCGTTAGTTTTCACCTTTTTCTCCTCTTTCGCAATCGACACGTTAATCTTCCCGGTTGTCATGTCCCATATAGGTCGTCGTGAGTGCATTTTGAAGCGAGAGGAAAATCAGAATTTTGCTTCGCTCGCGTTGAACCAGATCAACGTCACCTGCGAGTGTCAGCAGTCGGGATATGAGTGGTCTTCCAGGTACGGAATCTGCATTGACGTAAACGAATGCACCAGGGAAAAGCATAATTGCTCGCTAGCAGCCGGTCAAACGTGTTTCAATCTGCCTGGCACTTACGCGTGCATATGTCGCCTGGGATTAGTGTATCATCCCGAAAAGAACTCCTGCGTGCCCAGCGAAGCCATCTTGAAGGCTCTCCAGGAGGTGGAGGAGGAAAGGAACGACACGGAGACAAAGAGTCTGCTCGCATTGATCGTCGATGCGGTCACGAGATCAAAGGCCATCGGCCTCCGGGTCGGCTTCGAGATCGCTCCGTTCCTCGCGGTGGTAATCCTCGGATTTTATTCGTTCTTCCCTCTCTAGGCCGAGTCGTCTCGGTGTAAATATTTTACGAGAAATCTAGGATGACGACGACGTAGTCGCGTCCGTGAACCTCGTGATTGCGGTCAAGAGAAGCTTCGATAGGTCGGAGTTCGAGATGCGGAACGTTACATGAACAATTTGTGCATCGCCGCGTTCGTGATTGCGTCCTTTTTATCGTGTCGTAAAACCAAAGGTCTAGGCTAGGTGCGCGAGTGGATCATCTCGCTAGGATTTCCCGTGGCGAGCTCCTGGCGGGAAATGTTAACGTCGGAGGTAGCGATAACAATTTAGAACTTAATTCCGTCGAGTGCACGTTACATCTCCAGCTGTTACTCGATGTACCGCGGCCGAATAGGTTCTTTCCCCAAACGGTTATTCTCACTTCCACGGGGAAACTCTGGTAGCCCAGATACCGATTGCTCTTTTGCATAATTCCCCGAGCAGCGGATGGTTTTCCAAATTTCCTTTCGCTTTCCTCGCGCGGCCATTTCCGTTCATGGCAACCCGCGCGTTTATCGCGCGGCAATTACTTTGGCGGCCACGTTCGCGCTGTCGGTGTTTCGGCGGTTATTTACAAAGAGAACTGCGAAATTACTCGGATATTGTCGCCGCGCCGCGTCGGCTTCGGATCGTGCACTTCTCCGGATCGGAACCGGGGCGTGCGAAATCGCCTGCCGCGTTTCATTCGCCACCCTCCCGGTGGGTACTTGGGGGAAATTTCACGTGCGAAAAGGTCGAACAGGATCGACTCCCGTCAATATTTGCCTTCGGCTCTTCGCCCGCGATCCTAATTTAAATGCGATTTGTGGTACGCGGCTCTTCGGCCTCGAGCCCTCCGAAACGCTTTGCGAGTAACTCGACGTAAACATCCCGTCCGGTAAAATATTCAAATTTATATGGACACCCACCCACGAAATTGTCCCCGCTAGCCAGTAAATCGGAATTACGTTAAAAACTAAACAAAAGAAGCAAAATGGAAAAAGTACCCCAGCCGCCACTAATTACCGGCGAACCGTGAATCGTTTTCTCGGTACGTGCACACGACCGGGATACTCCTCGACGCGTGTTGCACGCGTGTTCGAACCGCGTTTTTGACGTAGCGATTATTCCGGCAGATAACGAACGGTTTATGCAATTTCCGCCATATCCATCTATTTACGTAAATATTTCAATAATATGTATTACTCGCGAGGGGTCGCGTGACACTCACGTTTTGAAAACGTTATTTCCTCGTTCGACGAGGGTCGTCGTCGGTGCGCAATCATTACCGTTAATGGGATCATTAGCGAATCGATACGCGTTTTTACCCAACCGGATATGCGATATGCGGCGAGCAACTGCAACGGATGATCTCTTTCTCCGGCCTCCAGCCGCGTCGGTGAATACGAGGTAGGCATTACGAAACCGAGATTAACGAAGATCCGATCCCAGCATCCGAAACTCTCCACGCACCCTGACGTAACGAACCGGATCGAGAGTGCAGTTTAGACCGGTCTCGATCGCTTTCAAAATCAACGCGAAAGCAGGCTAGAAGGCGCCGTATTCGAGAGTGACCGAGAAACAACTTTTCACAGAATTTTCCACAGCCGGCGACACTTTCTATTTCCCTTGCGTTCCATAAACGAACTTTGCATGTATTACCCCGCGTTGTTCTCTAGACGGGAAATAAAACCAAATGCGAGTTTCCCGATTTCCTTTCCCCTTTGCATTTCTGCGAGTAACCCCGCGATTCCGTTTCCGGCGCTCCGCAAAGTAGCCGGATCCTCTTTCCAGCCGCCGCAAAATGTTGCCCTTTTTACAATCCGGCAGCGATAGGTTCCCAGGGGCTTTCCAATTGTACACACGGCAAAGTAGCAATTAGAACTTTTAACGATCCTACGGGGTGGAGCCTCGGCAGCAATCGTAACCGCTGGTTGCGTTTAAAGAGCAAAACGCCCATCGCCGTTTCCTTTTCCGAGCTACGGGGTTGCGATTTCGTTCATAAGGTCCGAGCGGCTCACCCCGCGGTATTAAGTGAAACGTTAAAAGATCATATCCGAAGTCCAGCAGTCGCATGACCGGCGCCATTTATGATTTTCTGCGTGTTAACGAGAGCTGCGCCCACCGGAGGTAACGTAAACTTTACGAGGTCGGGATGTGCCGATTTCTATGGCTGCGGCTTTACGGGCAGGGATTTAGATTCGAGATAAAATGTTCAAAAATAGGTCCCACCGCTAAAAACGCGGATTCGCTGCAAAGTCATTATTTTATTTAACGTATCCCAGTCGTTTGAAACAATATACAAGTAGGTACGACCCGAGTTACGAGTCTTTCCCTCCCGAAGAGCCACCTCTCGACCGTGCGTAGATATATCCCGGGGAATATACGAGCGATCGAGCAACGCGATTCGCTGGATAGACGTTGCAGCGAACGTTCTCCCGGGACCCTCCTCGTACCGAATCTCGTATCCCCGCTGTATCGAGTAGCGAAATCGCGGATCGCGTTGCCGGTGTTCCGCGCGCTGCCAGTCGCGCTCTTTTCTTCGCCGACTCGCGACGCACCTCCGTCGCACCGTTCGACGGACTCGCAAATCGCTCTCCCTTTTCGCCGATTCTTCCGATCTGTCCCGCAAAAATCCCTCGGTCGTCGTTACTTTTCGCAGATGCGAGGACAGTAACCGATCATGTCCGTGATCGAGTGGTACGCGGATCGCGAGGTGCTTCTCACGGGAGTGACCAGCACCTTGGGGAGGTCGCTTTTGGAAAAGATCCTGAGATCCTGCCCGGATATTAAGGTGCACGCCGTGTTGAGATCGAGGCACCACTATAACAAGGATGACAGGATCAAGAGGATCTTCGCGTCGCCTGGGTAAGGCGCCCCCGGGGTTTACGACGGAGTCACCTCGTTTATAGGGCATCCATTGCGTTAATTGCATCCATTATTCAATGATCGCTATGGTGGACAAAAAATGCAAAGCCGTGGCATTCTTTGACTTATCGAGGTATCGCTCACGCACTGTACGTCGTCCGGTTGACCTGCACCGCGAGATCACGGTTAACGTTCCCTTTCACCGTCGGACTTTACCGGCGTCTACAATTACAAAATGCTAGTTGCAGCCACTTTTCACCGAACTGTACACTCTGGCGGTGAAAGTCGCGAAACGAGCAAAACCATTTCGTTCCGATTCCATGGCGGAGCCCGAAATCGTGTTTACCTCGGCGGCAGGAATTTGGCACCTTTCGGAATTGATGCGTTTCCTTTCGTTATTCCTAGACTCGCAAACTCAAGAGACGTCTCGAGTTTCGCAATCGAGCGCAGTCCCGTGCTCCGATAAAAAATTGACATTTGCTCCGCCGTCACAATGATCGTCACGTCGAAGGAGAACCAACGGATCTCCTTTGATAAAAAGAGGTTTCTCGCGATACGCGAAGAATTCATCATCGCGAAGGGAATTCGATGAATAATCGAAGACTCTCGGCCCGAGAGGAGGCACCTTAGGCTTAGGACCGAACGCGTCTTTTTGCGATCCTTTTGTGGCAGTCTCAAAAGCGCCGCCCGTCCGATATCCTTCGTGGAACTCGAACATGGATTTCTTTTATCCCGGGAAACCGAGTGGGGAAGTGTGCGCGAGGAAAGGAAAAAACTTTTAACGATCTCCAGAGGGAGAGAGAACGACAGAGGGCGGAGGGCGAGAGGGGAAGAAAGAGAGGAGCGAATTCCCCGGGGATGATAGCTCCAAGGTGGACGTTCTCATGAGCGTTGCTCAACGTCTGCGTTATAAAAAGAGTCGAGCTCGCGTTACGACCGGAAAAATACTTTTCCCAAAGTCGCCGAGAATTTTTCTCCGTCGATCGGACGAATGCCATGGAAACGTAACGAATGGTATTGGATATTTTATGCCATTTCCAGATTCGAGAGGCTGCGCCAGAAGTACCCCGACGCGATTTCGAGGGTCAGGGCTTTGGAGGGAAATTTGCTCTACGAAGGTCTCGGCCTAAGCAAGGAGGACCGCGCATCTTTAAAAAAGGTTAGCGTGGCTTTCCACGCCGCAGGACCACACGACGACGTCTTCGATTTCTGCCAGGAGCTTCCGGAGCTCAAAGTGCTCGCCGCGGCGTCCAGCGTCTTCAGGTACAGAGGCCAACTCACGGAGGCTCTGCAGAACGAACAGGTGCCAGAAATCCCGTTGGCGTTGGTGCGGTTCCCCATTCTGAGTCCCGCCCTGGTGGAGCCCATGCCAGGATTCGTGGAGGTCCTGAACGGAGTCACTGCCCTCATGGTGGGCGCGGGATTGGCCCTGGGTCATCCAGAAAATCCTGCCGAACTGCTCCCCGTCGACCTGGCCGCCAATGCCCTGATAGTGACCGCCTGGGACCGAGGAACGAGGTGAGGCGTCCTTGCGTCATCGTCGTCGTCGTCGCCATCGAAAGTCCTTCGAATTATTCTCTTCCGTTTTTTTTTTCTCAACTTCTTACACAATCGACATTTGCACGTCGGCAGAAATGTCTAGGAAACGATGGAGGGAATTTAGGTTGAGAGGTGGAAGGCTCGAGATCGAGGCGCCGTTTCCAATTCAGCGCCGTTAAGGTCGATGCGGCGGAACTGGTTCAAGATGACACACGCGCGTCCGGAGCTCGCTCGTCGTGTTATTAGCCAAATTAGAGCGCCTTTTCAGGGAACGCGGGGAGGATCTTGCCGGGCTGGTTTTTTTTTTCGGTCAATTAGCGGCGTCTCTCGCGAGGCAGTTTACGTCAAAAGCCGCGAGGGAAAGAGGGACGATGCTCGGCGAGTCTTATTGGAGGTGTCGGCAAGCCCGGGCGTTCAAACGGCAGCTGCCTTTTGACGCGGATCCGCCGCTTTATCGGAGTTTCCTTCCCTCCGTGGATCGTGCTCGATGATCCCCATAGGTGCATCGGGCTCGCATTGATAAAATTATTTCCAATCGAGACGCGTGGAAGTAAATCGCCTCGTTGTATCGGCAGCAATTAATCACCGGGATGATGTTCAATTTATCCGACGACGGCCTTATCAAAAGGAATCGGGTTTCCCGCGATCGATCCGACCGCGCTCGTTAGCTACGATTTCACGAAGCAGGGTGTTTCAATTGCACCGCGTGGAGGAGAAAGCGAAGACGAAGTTGCGTGCACGAGTCGCCTAGCGGAAAATTTTATTACACAAGTAGCCCGATGGGGGGCGAGGGACTCTCGCGATTGCTCAAGTACCGATTGCGGGCTGACGCTAATTCGACGATTACTTAAGGTCGGCGATCCGAACGATATCGAAACGCGACTCGTTTTGACGGTCGGCCGGATTTCGGGATTCCGGGTCGAGGTACGCTTTCCGTCTCACTTTCCGTGTACGCAGGGAAGTGTCCGCTTTGCCAACCGGCTCGCGAGAGTTTGCCCCGGTGCTTGCCCCTTGGCCCCCAGAAGAATTAAGTAAATAAGTTTGGAGTCTGCCGGGGAAGGATAAAGAGCGCGGCGAGGTTGCCGCAGTAACGCGAAACTTCTTGCAGAAAGCACGAGTTGATGCAGGACGGGCGAGCAAATTAATTGGCTGGATGCACCGCCACTGCGAGTGCACCTTACCTAAGTGGTTTGCCATTGTGCATTAATACGTTCCTTTGATATGACGTGAACGTAATTACTCCCGGGCAGGCTTATCATTAGTCCGTTTCCCGTCCCCTGATATCGCTCCGTTGCCTTCTCTTTTTCAGGGAGCCGGGTTCGAAATTGCATTTTTTCCGATTCCTTTCAGGGAAAAAACCGATGCGCCGCTCGTGTACAATGCGCCGAGGCTCGAGTGTACGTGGGGCGAATTGATCGAAAAGGGTCACAGGGCCAACCGGAAGTTCGCCTACCCGACCTTCGGGGTGCGCGGAATCACGTCGATGGCGATGCTCCATTGGATGGCGGTTCTGCTCCTCGAATGGCTGCCTTCGGTCCTCTGCGACATGATTCTAAATCTCGGCGGTGGAAAACAGAGGTAACGAAACGGGAAGACTTCCGACTCGAGAGAACGCCCTTTCCCGTTCCCGACGTACTTTTCCTAATAATCCCGCTCCGGCCGGCGCAATTTTTCCCCAATTTTCCGAGGCCGGCTCTCCATCCACTCGGAATTCTAAACGTCGAGGTAAGGTCTCCGCTCCGATTTAACGTCTCGAAAAACGAGCAAAAAAGACTCGCGGCCGAGGTGCCCCGGCTGGAATTTGCGCAATTCCGGTTAAGCACGATCTCGCGTTTCGCCGGGCGTAGATCGCATTCTTCGTAGCGAGGCTCGACATAACCGCGTGATTGGCGGTACGTGACGTAATTCCGCAAAAGTTGGAGTAAAAGTCGGCTGGAAATTGCGGCGAGGGCACGCGCCGCGTAAACGGGTCCGGGGAGGCGCATCGTCCGAGCAAGGGAAGAAACCTTAACGAGGGGACAGCTCATTTTCATGGGCCGCTCGTACCGGCGAAACGGAGTGTCACTCGCGGAAGATACGGCCGAGGGAATTAAGGGCTGTCGCGATTTTTAACGATTAATTAATTTCATGGGACGTAACCCGCTGCTCGGCCGCCTTTTCGCCTTTAATCCGCCCGCCGACGAAACGAGCTCGTCCGTTCCGGGCGACGTGCTCCAAGACGGCGTCCTCGTTTTGCAAAAACCGTCCCTCTCCTGATGGACCACCTAACGACAAAAGTCGGACAAACGGAGAACGAGTTAATTAAACGCCACGGGAGCATCCGCCTTTCTCGATCCTCTCTCCCGTGTCGTCTTCGCGCCGACTTCTCTGCATGCTCCCGAGGGCGAGCCGCCGTTACGTCGTTATCGAGAGACGGCTTGACTTTTTCCGAGGAATGCCCCGGAGAGTCCCGACGATACAAACTTCCTATCGCCCTCTTCCATTCTCTCTGCCCGTGTCTCCAAACCGCATCCTCCCTCGAGACGCGATTATGCCGATTCCGGGATCATCTCGGTCCCGGTCGTGTGAAATAAATTCGTCGGCGGTTTTCAGAATCCTGGCGGAGCACGTCAAGGTGCGCACCGCCCTCCGGTCGCTGGAGCCCTTCCTGTCCAAGTCGTTGTCCGTCAGTAGGAACCGACTGGAGCGACTTCGGCAACGACTCGGCCCCGAAGACCGAGAGGCCTTCCCCATGTTCCCGGATATCGACATCGAGGCTTATGTCCTGTGCGCCGCCGCGTCCACTCGGAAGTACTGTGTCGACGAGAAAGGTCGAAACCTCGTCAGGAACTTCAAGCGCGTTTTCGCGGTCTTCCTCCTCGTGGCCGTGCTCTTCTACTTCTTTTTCTAGCTCGTCGTCGCGAGCGTCGTCCGCGACCCGGCAACGCGGAACCGACGAGGAGGGTCAGGGTCTCTTGTCGAGAAGTTCACTCGCGTCTTCCGGGTTTCCCTCCCTGCGATCGCGTTTACTCGTTTACTCACGGCCAAGAGTGTACCTTCTCTCGGAAGGTGCTTCCCGTTTCCCTTCCTCCGTCTAACGATAAACGGAAGTCGTGTCGTACGCGTACGCCGGTACCGGCGACAGCTTGTACCTTCCGTCGACGGTAACAAGGCGGCGAGAGTACCCGGTTTCGCGATAAATGAAGTTACCATCCCGTATCTTTTTTACGAGTACACATTTTTCTACGATAGTCATAGCGGAGAAGGCTTAGATTTAAAAACGGATGCACTTTGTAAAATGCGCGCTTCTGGTTTCGCCGGGGACCAGGAAATTCGGTCGCTAGAGTAGAGTATTTACTCCTTCGCGGCGGTCCTCATTTCGGAGCAATGAAACGCACCAAACGCCTTTTTAAGCCGAGGGTGTAAGCATGTGTGCAAAGATTTGATTTGAACAAAGAAGCGGAAAGGGAGGTGAATTTGAGTAGACCGAAGTGCGCTCGAAGTCGAAGTACATCGCTCGAACCAGGCTGGGAGCACGAGTAAGTGTACCGAGGGAGCGTATCGTCGAGAAAGCTTCGTTCGGGGGGAAAGTTCTTAAAGCGACATGCCGCTCTCGTGGATGTACCGAGAGCGGCGTGTACCCTCGCATACCCTCGTCCCGAGCGTTGGCCTCCGTGAAAAGTTAAGCCTCGAGTGGGAGCTCCCGAATTGGTCGCGAATATTTGATAAGGCGAGGATGAGCATCGACCGTACGCGCTCGGGCTCAAAGAAGATTATAATGGGAGAGGTCGCGTAAGCGAGCGGACAAAGGGGGTAAGGGGCACAATAAATGGAGAATCACACCTTCGAGAATTGACATCGACCCCGTCGACAGAGGGCAGAAGAAGGATGCGACCGGAAGAGGCGTTCAAAGAAGAGGGGAAAATTCGTCAAGGCGGAGATAAGCTTCGATCGGGAGGGCGAATCGCGATAACGAAATACGGGGCGAGCGTAGGACCCGTGGACCTCGGGACGCATAGGTCTCCATCTTGAAATGAAAATACCTCCGGGCCGAAAGACAGAGGAGTGGATGAGAAAGAGGATGCTCGGGAGGGAGCGAGATCGAGGGGCGGGCCCGGCGAGAAAGAGAGGAGAAGGGACTCGCGGGAAACGCGTTCCTCGTTAAGAAAGTACAACTACTTTGGTTAAAAGGATTACGTGCTCTAAAAAGTCGCGGGAAATCGCAGGGGCCGCGACACGCGAACTTCTTTCTTAACGTTCGTCCCTCTCGACGGGAGCCACTTGCATTTCCGAGTTGCATTCTCCGGGGATGTGCGCTCGTTGGGAGGAGTTCGACGCAATGGTGGCAATTAAATGTTTTGATAATCTCTCGTTGAGAAAACGAAACCTCTTTCTCTCGTCCACTTCGTCGAGTTCCCTTGTTCAGGCTTTTTTCTTCCATCTCCTCGTTCCTTTTCTTTTTTTTCCTGATGGGCTACAGATTTAACTCGCCCTGTCGCATCGGGCCGCATCGCGAGGCAGCAGCGCTCTTCAAGACCTTATTATTCGCGACGAGTCCGAGGATTTGGTTTCGCGAGGAAATAATTGAGGCACCGAGGACGAAGCTGCAGGTAGGTACCGTTCCATGGATAATTGCGAGGTGGGCCGTTTTTCGCGAATACTCGGACGAAGCCGGGAAAAAGCGGGGAGAAGAATTGCGTGCAAATGAAGCAACGAGCGCGGCGAAACGTTAACGCGGAAGGACTGGATAAACATTTGGGATAAACGGAGGAAGAGGAGCGGGCAAAGGGAGGAGATCCCCGGGACTCTCGTTCCCGGGAAAATTCTGATGCGTATTTTGTCCAAAAAAAAATGATTATTCAATAATCGAAGGAGCAAAGGTTTCCGAGTGACTCGGTTATTCATCGTTAGGCGAAGGTGAAGGCATTCCGGTACGTAGGACCTATTGTACCCCGTGTACTGTATCGAGTACCGGCGTCTCCGTAAATCCCGGCTGTCGCCGGAGCTCTCGAGCCAGGATTTTAATACCCCGGGGCGATAACTAAGGCTCGCGAGACGGCCGGGTGAGATAACTTTAATCACGATAACGTCCTTTCGCCGAGTTTACGCTCAACCGGCGTATATATCGCGTGTCTAAAGCCGTAACGGTGCATCCACTGCAACGCCGGGGCATTTCCCCGGTGCATTCCTCGTCGAGTACGGCCGATCGAGAGAGTTCGCGACGACCGGGGGCCTCCTCCGTATCGCATATTTATCCCGATCGCGAGGTGACGAAGCTTTATGAGCTCCTTTGAGGAGTCCTCCCATCCTCCGGAAGGTGCCCTCGATCGGCCTCCGTTCGCGACCATTATTTTCCCTCCGGAGCGACTAAGTGATTGCGCGCCCTAGACATCCGGGCTCCTTTGGCCGGCGATTTTCCGCGACACCTCCCGAGGGCTTCCGGGCGAATCTAATTTTCCCCGAGGATTTCCTCGTCGCCCGGGGCAGCCGGCAGATTAGCCGCCGCCGCTATCTCCTTTCCGAGGGTCGCCCCGAAAAACTACCGACTGGCTTAGCGCCCCGGAGCTCACTCTTTGGCCCTTTTATCATCCGCGGCCCCCCGGCGTCGAAGGGAAACGCGTCGCGGGAATCGAGGGATCGTCTTCGGAGATCGATGTCGAGCGGTCGGGACGGGTTGCATCGGCGTTCGACTCGCGGTGCTGCCGGAAGGTGTGCTCGGGGACGATCGATTACATTCGTAATCAATTACGGTGTCAACTACAACCCGCCCGGTACGCAATCTCCACATGACGTTCAGGGGCGTCGGGACATTCGCTCGACGTCCCGGGAACGTCCAGGGGAAATTCGGCCCGTCAATTCGACCCAATACGGCCGCTCGCTTGTATCCGATCCGGAATTCATTATCCGGTTATCTATAATTGAGAGCGCGGCTCAAAAACGATCTCCCGCGGCAATCGAGCTCGCGAGCGCTCGACCGTCCGCGATTTTCGAGGACACTCGTCGACTGCGCGGTTCTCCCTGCATTGCCGAAACCGCTAATCTCCACCTTACAAATTGCGTCCCGTCGATCGTCGTTTCGAAACCTCGTCACTCGGGAGGTCCCTCGGCGTCGCGACGCGCGGCACGCCCGGCCGGGACTCGGTGGTCTCGGGAATCCTCGAGCGATTTCGCTTAATTAAGCGGCAACGGAGTCTCGGTGCCGGGGCATAAGTTGCAGTTTGCGTCGCGCGCAACCCCCCGCAAACTCGGGGGCGTCCGCAGGGGAGTCACGAGTTCGCGCGGGTTCCGCTGGCGCGCCTAAGCGGCTTTTCCGCGATCGCCGCTAAGGGATGCGGTTAATTTATTCGGTCCTCCCAGGCTCCTCGAGGTCCGAGCCTGCTTTTACCGGCTCTCGCCCTCGAACTCGGCGACTGCCTTACCGTCCCGCTTTTACCGACGCCGCGCCAAAGCAGCGCTCTCTGGTTCCCGTTAACGACAGCAAAACGCGCGGCCGATGCGCGGATAACTGCTGCGCTTTGCGGTGCCGGCACGTCGGGACGCTACGCCGACGGAATCTCTCCGGCGACCCCTCTCGATCCTCGTCGAGATCGACGCGGTTTAGCAAAACCTCTCCTGGCATTTTTCCTCCCTCCCCTTTCCTCGGCGGAAATATTTCCGCGCGATCGTCGAATCGAGCGGCCGGCCTCTCCAGCGGATGAAATAAATCGAGACCGCCTCGGAGTACGTTTCTCTCCCCTTGACCCAATTAACGCGGGCTTAATGCACAATGGCGATTTCCTCCGCCAGCTTCTTCCGCGCGCGCGACCCCGTTTCGCGCGAGGTCAAGGCGGAGTTACGACAACCCCGAAGTGCCGGCGCGGATCAATCGTCGACGTCGGGACGGCTGCGGTCTCTCGACGCCTCTTTAGCGACCCGTCGAAGACCTCGAGTTCCCCGTGGAAAGTCCCTCGGCGACTCGTTTTCGACTTTAACGGTTCGACGCGTCCCCGTTAAACCGTGCTTCCGAGTGCGATCCGCGGATTCCTTCGGGTTTATCGAGCCATCGAGAGCGCGTGTCGCGGGGAACCCGCGATCGATTTAAGAAGCGGAAACGTGCGTGTCGCGTCCCTTTCGTCCGCTGACGTCGGCACGACACCGTCCATCCTAATTTTCCAGGGTGCATATCCCATTAGGGGGACCGCTGATAATCGGATTACCGGATTTTTCAATGTTCGCGTGATTCCTTCGACGCGAGCGTCTACGCCTCGGGGAGACATCGGGAAAGCCTTCGCGGACGGTAATCGGATTTTAATTACGACTCGTTCGAGTGGCCAAACACGCGACCAAAGGAACGCGACGCGAGAGTTAACGCGCCGGCCAGCTGCTCGGCAATTGGTAATCGCTAAGTTAATAACCGACAATCGCTCGTAACGGGGTTACGGTTAATTCCCGTGCCGCGCAACGAGAGACTGGACTCCGCGAGAGAAAATCGCAAATCCTGCAATTTCTTGGCAATTGCGTCCACCTGCCAGGAGATACCTGTCCGGCCGCGAGACTATTTCGCGTGACCGCGTCCGTCCGCGCGTTTCATATTGCGATCGCGCGACTCGATACGGATGATGGATTGGAATTCGGTGACGGAGGTACCAAAAATGGGGGAGCAATATCTTCCGTGGAGAGCCTGCGTTAAGAATATTAGATCAGATTCGCGCGATCTCGAAGCGGTCTCCTTTTATGGAATTAAACGACGGAACTTCCATTCGCGCCGCTCCCTCGGGATTTTCGAGACGCTCGTGAATAATCTCACATCCGTGCCGTGAGAATGGATTATCGGAAACGATTCGCGGCTGGGAGCTTCGAGGACGTTCGGCCGGGGAGGATTTCCACTTCGACCTCTCCTACGTTTCGAAATTCCCCCGAACGACCGGCCATCGACTCGAAAATCGGCGAAATCTCGTCCCTTCGAAATCCACGGGTCGACGGAAAAGACGATAGTTAAAAGATTATCGCTAAGTATCGACTACTCGGAAATCGTCGGCCTCTTTTGGCATTTCTCTTCTCGAAAGGATTTCGGCTCCGTCTCGGCAAGATTAATTCGAGCGATCTCGCATCTCGCCGAAGTAGAGGCCGGGGGCCCTAAATAGCGGGAGAGGGACGTGCGTGCATTAAGGGGAGGAGGGCCATTTGTGCCGCACGGAGGGACCGCGGGTCCGTCCTCTGAATTCAAGCCGCGCGCCATGTTCTTGCAGTTCCGAGGGCAATCTGCGCTAAATATTACGGCGTTGCACTTGTTACCGGGCAGAATGCGAAGGTAACGGCTGCCCGCCCCCGCGGCCGGTGCATGTACACACTTAGAGCAAAAAGGCGGTACTCGTAGCTGTACCTCGGATTTATGGCGGCGGTCCCCTTGAGCGTACCAAGACTTCTCGCTCCGCGCGGACGTTTGCGGCTATATCTATATATATTCATACGTTTTTACACGTACCGTTCCTTGCTCGCGTCGATGTAAACTTCCCGAAGAATCGAGCGCGGCATTCCGATACCCCAGCGCTTACCTTGCGCTTTCGCGATCTCGCGAACGATGCGAGGCCGAGAATCGCATCGACTACCGGAGACGTTCGACGAATCGACTCGCTGTCCGACCCGCGGGAGAAAAATCTGCCCCTGGTTATTATCGAGACGTTGGAGGCGCGTGTACGCATTCGCTGGCGCCCGCGAAATAAGGGTTCGTTAGAAAAAACGACGAGACCTCGCGTCGGTGCTTTTCGTGGTGGCTGCCGGGGGAATCGGAGATGCGGCGCTCGTCGCGGCAACGAGGCAAAGTTTCGATTTTATTTCTCCTCTTAATGCCCGAAGAGGAAAAATGCTCCGCAAGGAAATCGTTCCCGGCACGATTTCGAGCCCACAAATTTATGTCGTGCTTCCCCTATCGAATGTTCTCTCGAGGAGCAACGAGGATCGCATCCATTCCATGAGACGTTCGACGAATCGACTCGCTAGCCACAGCGGGAGAAAAATCTACTCCGGGTTATTACCGGGAACGGGGGTGGAATGGATTATCGAGAATCACGGAGCGGGTGTCCATTATTTTTGGGAAGATCGCGGTCGAGGAGCCGAGTCGGCAGTTCCTCGGACGGAGTCGCAATTTCTGGACGCCGCGGAGATGCCGCGATGCCTTGGAAGTAGCATTCGTTTTCCGGTCAAAGACGATAGGAGGATCGAAATGGACTTCCTCCGTGCCCCGAAGGGCTCCCGGGGGAGTTCGATGGCAAAGAGGAGGGATTCGTTAAAAACCGTAGGCGAGCCATGAAGCCCAGAAACGGGCGAGGCCTTTGACAAGGGAAGAGAAGGGCCCGGTTGGAAAAGAGGATGGTCTTTGATCCGGTCCACCTACGCAAATCT